AAGGCAAAGGCAAAAAAACAACCCAGACTCTCAAACAGCTATGTAACGTGTTGTTTGTTTACTCCATAGTAAATCAGAGGTATACTAATGCAGTGGATTTCCAGAGTAGAACATAAGCTAACGTGGGGTGCCAGCACTGTTGCATGCATACTAAAGCTGTAGACTTTGACAGGAGCACATAATCTATGGACTGTCTGTGGAGAAAGACAAAAGAAGCATACTGTGCATGTCATCACCCACAAATGGTGCAGGCAGCTGCAGGGGGATCAGCAAGAAGGTAGAGCTTCCCTCATTACATCCAGATCTGACTAGTGCTGCAGTGTATGGCCTTTCAGCGTCTGAAGTTTTGACATTTAATTTGAGAATCCCCAACAGGCAGCTTATTATAATTTCAAAATACTGGAACCGTGTCAAAGACCATTGCTCCAAGTTTTTTCTGCAGTAGTGTGTCTCTGGCATCACCTGAAACATGCTGGATATATGTAGAAATGTATATATAGGTGGAACCATTTGCTACACTGTATATACATTCACACTAATCTTTTAAATGCCTCTTTCAGGCTTTAAAACAGCTACAGCCCTTTTAGCTAACGCTGCAGCAAATAACTCTACATATAGGAGGGTCACTATAAAAAGTCTTAATGTACTTACAAATCATGAAATGTTTCATATGGCACTCTGTGAGCTAGCCTTTGCACCACATAGCTCAGCTGTATCCATCTGAAAGTTCAGAATTCATCTCACCTGAGAAAATTCTGGTTAGAAACCAGGATTCATTGACTGCATGTGTGTGTTGGACAGGCTTCTTGCATCAGTTTGTTCTATTTCTCCAATAAACCACATGGGAAACCATATTATATGCAGTAAATCACTATGGTAACACTGGAGACGGTTGTGAGGTTTAGTGAAACATTACCTGAGGTCCAGATTAGCAGACAGGTAGAGGGCTAGTCAGGACCAACATGTCACTCAGAGTAACTGTGCCCCTAATAATGTATATAATGTATATAGCTGTAAATTCTCATGTGCTTTAACATGCTAGTTATATAAAAATATACCTTGATGAACCTACAGTATGGTATAAAAATCTTTGGTGACTACCTACAGGAGTTATTGAGTTTCAGAAAACTTGACCTCTGGTCGAGATCATTGAGATTGGAGCTCATCCGAGAATTTAAGAAGATGCACCCGTGGTATCAATTTGTTGTCAATCATAGCTGGCGGGTTGAAGTACACTGTCTTGTAATCACCAATTAACAACAGAAACCTGAGGCTACAACCCCACACACCAACACAAATCCCTAATGAGGACACACATCTCGAAGATCTTTCTCTTAGTAGAATACAAAGCTGACCGCGCAAAGCAAAGATGAGAACCAGCACAAAATAGCGATCACCACAGTGATTCTGCTTTAGAGACATGAACAGGGAGAAAGCGGGGCTGCAGCCCGACTGTTCATCTGCTTGTTATCTGTCGAAGTTCGGGGTCTGGCTGCTGCACTCAGCACTTTCTTGTTGGCTAGCTTAGCGTTAGCATGCTGTTTGTGCAATTGCATGCAAAGAACCAAAGTTGTGTTAGCAACATACTGCAGTTGTTTCCATCATGGATGCAGATTTCAACTTTACCATTTATCTTGTCCTTTTTTGCAATAAAATAAATGTTCATATCCATGCTCTGGACTGTGTCATTATTTTCCTCTGACATGCGAACTAAAATCAGCTGATTGTAGGGCAAATGCAAGAACCGATGAGCGGGATCGATATGCAGGTAGACTAACAATTCCAAAGAACTGGACTACTGGGAACTGGTTTTCTGCAAGAAGCAGTTCTTGATTCTCATCCATAGTCTCTGTGTGTTAGCCCTGAGACAGACTGCCAACCTATCGAGGATGCGCTCCTTTCACCCTACGGCAGCTAGGATTGGCTCCAGCCACCCTGGTGACCCTGAATTAAATAAGCAACAGAAAATGAAAGGATGGATAGATGATGGTTGTTCTGCTGCAGATATAAACATTTTGAAATGCCCCAAATCAGACAATTAAAGAAGCATATTTACAGCCTTGGGCAAAAAACTAATTTGGCCTTTATTGATAGTTTTCCTCTTCATTGCAGTGCACAATGGGAGAGTTTTTATTTTTGTTTTTCTGACTCATCCATCTGGATAATAGCATTGATTGGCAGGTGTTCGACACTGGCAGCTTTTAGCTAATAGAAGTCTGCTGGGCTTCAACTCTGCTAAATTAGAGTCCATGAACCCCACCTCACTAATGTGTTTGTGCTCTCTGTGCTTTTTGGAGCATTTTATTTACTTTAACGATCTGATATTATGGGCTGCTGTGTGGTACAGTCTGTCCTAAAAGTTGGTGTTTTCAGTTCTGGCAAGTGAGATTGTTTTGTTTTATCAGTTTCTTACATGGCAGTAATTAGCAGATGTGATTGCACCCCTTAAGTTCACAAACTTTCCAAAGTTAGAAAAAACACAGTACTGCCGATATCATCAGCTTCATCTTAGTGTGCGTCGTGATGTTCTGTGTGATGCCTTTTCAATCTAGCATTGAGAAATAATGTCCAATCCAATGAAATCCAGGTGAATCCGAAGATACGGATTCTCTTCGCTTTAATCAGTTAATCAGTTTTGAGATTAAACATCGCCTTTTGAAGAAAATCCTGGCCAAGAAGAGAAGCATCCGTTCCTTCGCCTTCTCAGAGGAACAAAACTCCTGCTGCCTTCAGGCAACACTCAGTTTTTTTTCTTTCTACGTGTGTTTGTGTGTATATACACATGAATCTGTGTCTATTTACTAGCAGTACCCATGAAAATACCATGTGGATACAGTGCAGCCTATCACAAGAGGGAGACAGTTGCCGTGCTTGTGGAGTCACTGGAGGAGCTGTCCATTTCAGCACCACGATGAGGCAGCAGAAGCCACAGATGTTCCTATTGAAACGTTCCATATTTAGGTGGATAATATAAAACAAAACATTAGATATGTTTACTAAGATTCCACGTACTGCACTGTATTTCCACTTGCTATATGTGGCCTTCAGCCACCTATTTGCAGGAATTCCTCAAAAGTATTTGGCCTTTAAAGCTTTCATGACCTGTGTTGAAAAACTCCTTTCGTTAGGGTATTTTTAACGTGCAGCTACATATAACATGATGTATATACGAGTGGCTCTGACAGCATTAGAATCACTGTAGTTTCTGCAAGGCGAGGGGATGTGAAACATATGACAGAGTCAGACATACTGACCACGGATCAGTGAGTTTTACAACCTAACCAATCTATTTCTGTAGAAACCATCCAAGCTCTTAACTGCTCGCTCAGGTGTTTTACACACTCTGCTCACCCCTTTCATCATTTGTGTCTCGAATCTGCCTCTCCCCAGGAAATGAATGAGCACACCAGCTCGCTGGAAAATAATAATAATAACGCACTGATGATGACAATAATGTGACACTTTATTGATCCCTGTCAGATTTTTTTTCTCGCTTCCCCTGCTCATAGAAAAGGCTAGAAGGTGGAGGTCACATCACAGCAGCACTCCTGCAGTAAACTAGAGGCTTTTGGGTCTGCAGGACATGAACTTGGTTTAAAGAAAAAATAAAAACACACAAACATACGCTGCCTGATGAAATACAGCCACTGTGATGCCACCCGGGGACCAGAATCAGCCTGCCAAAGACTTCAATCCGGCCCACTGGATGGCTTTAGAAAATGTGAAAGAGAGGATACATTTTGTTAAATATATTTTAACACATTTTACAAGTTTTTCTACTGACAAAGACTTCCCCTGTCACCAGTCATATGACACCACAGTAATGAAGTAATGGATAAACCTGAGGTGATGTGAGATGTCCTGTTTTTCCAACATTTACTATAGAAATGTGTGTGTGTGTGTGTGTGTGTGTGTGTGTGTGTGTGTGTGTGTGTGTGTGTAGGGGGGGTGGGGGGGTTACAATATGGCAGAAAAAAAACAACAATAACATTTTTTTAAATGGCATCTGACCCCGAGTGCTAAAAAAGCTACAGACTGCTTTTGTAATTCATTGTCATTTGTTACTTTAACAGTGTCCTTGCTATCATTGAAGTTAAAGACTTTACATATTTGGAGGATTTCAGCTAAAACGGAAGGAATCTCACTTCAGTAATTGGTTATTTCAAACTGACATCACTGAGCCGGTGTGACAGGACATGCATGCAGAAGTTGCACTAACAGCAGAGGGAGATATTTTATTTCAAACCAACATGAAAATAATCACGGGGAAACATTTAAACAGACATTATGAAAACGTAATTACATGTAAATACATATTAGCCACCTAGCTTAATCTTGTTTAGCGATTAAGGATCCTGGGATGTACTTTGTCTCTCTTTCGCTCACAACCGAACTCTTGGCTTTAATTATCCCCCCCTGCTGGTAACGTGGCTTCTGCATGCGTGTCTAGTTCACGCTATATTCTTTGGTATCTGGGAAGAAACCATCTGCTTCTCCAGACTGCTAATTATTATTATTATTTTGTTGCTTCATAAAATTTAAAACTTACAACTCAAAAATGCTTCATTACTTTACCACACGTGCCTATATCTACTTTTTTAAAATCTACTTTTTATCGTTTTATCCTACACCAGCTAATTTTTCTGACCTTTGTTTTAAACTCGTGCTCCTTAGTACACTTTCAGTGTCATGTCCGTGTCATACCGTCAGTAAAGCGCTGGCCTGTCGCCGTTTTACAAATGAAGTTGCCCAACCTTAGAGGAGTGCAAAGAAAAGCTTTCTAGAAACGAGTTGATGGAACATGCACATGTTTTCACACTGCTTCAGACAAATAATAAAGTGATGGATGTACTGACGTGGGTAAAGGGCATGTTTTTTTCTTCCTTTTTTTGCAGTGCGCTTGTTTTTGCGTAAAGTACTGCTGCTGCTGCGCACGGAACATCCCCCCTCGCTCTCTCGCTTTCTGGTTGTGTCGATTTTTTTTTCATCCTGTGCTCCTAACCATCATCCACCCCCTCCTCCTCCTCCTCCTCTTCTTTTTCTCCTCTCTCCACTTCTATCTCGGCGCTGCGAAGAAGGAAACCGAGGGAACCGAGGATTGATGTGTTGCTCGACTTGAAATTTGCCTCTTCCTTTTTTGCGCACACTGCCCACCCCCCACCACCTCCTCACGCCCGACAGCCTTGCCATAAAATAATTGCTGCTTTCCCCCCCCCCCCCCTTTTTTTTTTTGATGATTTCCGATCTTTTTTCATGTGATGACAGTAAACGGCTGTGTGCGTGTGTGTGTGTCTGTGTGCCCTCGATGTTCTCCGGCTGACCGTGATATAACCATCTAAGGACCGTTTGGATGCGGGAGGCAGAGGCTCTGACGCTCCGGGAAGCTTCGTCCATGCCTCCTTGTCCTCCTCCTGCCTGCGACCGGCTGTGTGACCGGTGATGCTCGGCCTCTCCGCCTGGATGCGCCCCTCTCTCCGCGGTGTGCCGTCGGTACCGCTGCCCGTGTCCCCCTGTAGCAGAATTCCACTGTTGCCGGAGAAAGGTCTAGGGACCACATATGGAAACTGGGGACCAGAATTTTAGGAAAAAGGAAAACTAAGCAGGCTGTCGTTTGATTTGCACAACTTGATGTTGTTCCTCTTCTTCTTTGCTTGATTTTTATTCCTATTATTTGGAGAAAGAGGGGGGCAGGAGGAGGGGGGTTGATCGTCCCTGGTTGGTTTATTTGTTTATTTATTTTTAAATTCTCCATCCTGTCTTCTAAGGAATGGCTGGTTTTTATGGCAGTCATGGCACTGGCTGATATTTGGCAGTATTTATCATTCTGTCCTTGATTTGGAGGTGTGTGTGTGTGTGTGTCTGTGTGTGTGTGGTTGGGGTGGGTGAAGTGCTTGGTTCTGCTGGTTTGAGTCTGTCCTCTCATTCCTTTTGGTACATTTAGTCCTAATTTCCCTAACATATCCCAGGCCCTGCCTGCCTGTCTGTCTTGCCTGTCTCCCATCAGAATACATGTGCTCAGCCTGATTCGTCAGAAGTGCTTGACATGATTCACTGATCCACCTGGGTTCACACCGAGCTAGCCATCACTGAATTGTGTTATCGTTAATTAGAGATCTGTGCTTTGCCTTCTTCGGGGAGTGTTTTAAAGAAATCAGGCCGCCAACTGTGTTAGTCTTAACAACACTCCACCCACCCCCCTATGTTTCTTCATTCCTCTTCAGTATGAATTAATTCACCCTGCGTGCATGCGGGTGCTCGTCCATGCACAGGTGCGTGAAAGTTTAAGTTTGCGAGCGAGCGAGTGTGTTGTGTGTGTGTGTGTGTGCGAGAGAGCAGGAGAATGACAGTGTAGGCTGTGTGTGACAGACTCTGTGAGTGGAAAAAATATATATAAATATATATATTTTTCACAAAAAATCAAGCGCTCCCATGCACATCACATCACCGTTGAAGCTGTGAGGATTGTAATACGTGTAACTGTTTGAGTCGGTTCAGAAAGCCCAAATCAGGTCTAAAAACAGCCCCGGAGAAGCTGAGCAGAATCCTCCATCTTCTCCTGATCTGGGCCTTTTTCAGAGTTTGACGTTTAGAGGCCTTCCAACTCAACAAAGTAGGCCTAGATCCCAGACCAGGTCTCTTGTGGGATCTGCTTGAAGCCTGTGTTTTTAGGTCGACTTTTTTTTTTCTAGAGCAGGGCAACTTACTGCCGTTTGAGGACTCGAACAGCTTCAGAGCTGAGGGTTCTGCTGTCATTGCCAAAGTCTGTTTGACCCCCCCTCACCCCCCTTGCTCTGTTGGGTCAAACAGCGACAAATCCACCTCAGAGCTTCACCCTTCCCTTCATTTTTTCACCCTTTTGAAGAACCCCCCCAAAAACCAACCATACGATTTCCCCCGAGCTCCCCGAACTCCCCGCCCCCCCAGCCGCCCCCCGCCACCGTCGCCCGCCCGACGCCGCCCACCCCCCGTTTTCCGAGCTGGCGTGGCGACGCAAACTCACAAATATTTACTTCCTGTACATCAAGAGGAAAGGGGGCCCCCCTTTCGTGGAATGCGGCAACATGGGCGTGTTTGACCGCGGGGTTCAGATGCTGCTGACCACGGTGGGGGCCTTCGCTGCCTTCAGCCTCATGACCATCGCCGTGGGGACAGACTACTGGCTGTACTCGCGCGGCGTCTGCAAGATCAAGAGCAACAACGAAAACGAGACCAGCAAGAAGAACGAGGAGGTGATGACGCACTCGGGCCTCTGGAGGACCTGCTGCTTGGAAGGTGAGCTGGAGCTGTGCTGTAGAAGTCACACATATGCGTATATACATGTGTGTGTGTGTGTATATATATATATATATATATATACACACCAACAACACCACACACAGGCACACAAGCAGATCGATCCCTGCATGCCCACACACACATTCACACAGTCCTGCAGTTGCACTCACATGCCCACACTATTCTGTATGTACTCTGCATCCATTCCCACACTATCTGTCTATCTATCTGTGTGACATCATTCCTTCTTTGTGTGTTGAAATGAATGCAGCTTCTTCCTGAGCAGTGATTTGGATGGCTTGTCTACCAAATGGTCACATCTTTGTCTGCGGTTTTGGGGCTGCCCTCATGGTCTGTCATGGCCAGTGTGGCCAGAATGTCTTTTTAATTGTCCCAGCAGAGAGCAGCCTGGCCCACTTAGCAAACTGCCACAGCGGGCTCCACATGGCACACACGGTCCAGCCAGGTGTACAGCTAAGTTTATCTCCGCGGCAGGCTGATGAACCCATATTTCTTACTTACGTCTATGTGGGGGGAGCAATTCAGCGATCACAGTAATCCCTCCTGCTCTCCATACTAGTCTTGTAGATGTAGATGGGGAGCGAAATCCAAAATCCTTGCATCACAGAGGGGAAACCAATGTGATGCATCAGCAGGGCTTATTTTAGAGCTGGGGTTATTGGGATTCTACTAAAAAAAAAACAGAACAAGGAAAAAAAAGTCAGTTTTAACTTTTTTGATTGTAAATCTATGGAGGTGCACTGCTGTGTTCAAAATACTGGCTGCAAAGGGATAATGAAAAAAACCCTGCTATACAGCCGTGTTTGGGAGCAGAGATGGATAGAAAACTGGCATGAATGTGTCTTTGATGTGTGCAGGAAGAGCGGTTTTTGGTGGAGGGAGAGAGAGGGGAAAGCATATGCGAGTTTGCAGTGTGAGTTTGTGATCATACAAAAGGAAAAGCTGTGAAGTGTCTCTGTGTGCGAAAGCGTCTTTGACACATGCACACAAACGCTCGCACTGCAGAGGGTCACGCACACACACGCGCACACTTTACATACGGCATTCATGTTCAATCGGTCGTGATCATAAATCACGCAATATCAAGCCCACAGATTCGAGTGACGGAGATTCACTGCATTTGTGGGATTTCTCCCACGATTCAGCGAGGCTGCACGACTGCTCTGTTCAACGTTAGCCCGGACGGGCGTTTGGGAGAAGGAGGGATAGAAAGCAAGAAGCTCTGTGTGCAACACGGTGTTCGCACGTTGAATCGGGCCTTGAAATCAGCACCTTTGTGATAAATCTGACAGAAAGCGACATGTTGCTGAGTCTGGTTTGATGTCATAATCAGCACCTACCTATTACTCATGTATATGTGTGTGTGTGAGACTGTGTGTGTGCGACAGTGAGGATGCTGTGACGCGCCGCTCCCTGATTGTGACCTCACGTTGTCACACCGGTCGAGCCATGAAGCCTGATCCTGTCGCACACCTTTGTTATTCATGCTCACAGAAATGATTAGAAGACGAGCTTGTTATCAGTAAGTCCTGTAGATTCTGTCCTCATATTATTTATTTCTTTTCAGTTTCATGGCAAAGATAGAAAAGACGTGTAGTGAAACTTAAAATGACAACTCCAGCTGCTTCTTTCACTTGATCATCAAATTTTAAATGTTTTTTTCCATGGCACAACATCATGTTGTATTCTCTTCTTTCTCAGCTCTCCTGCTGTTTGACTTCATGGCATTAAACTCTGATCTCATACAATAATCTCACCTTATTTTTCCAGAACATCTTAAATTATCCCTTCATCACTTCTTTCTTTTAAAAAAAAAAGTTCATAGAGGTGATCCGGTGGCAGATGAAGCTGCAACATCACACACTAATTTTCAAAACTTAATTACATCAGAACATCACTGACATCACTTTTTTTGCTCAATATTGTTGTATTTCCTAAAAAAAAAAGTATCCTTTAACCAGGTTTTTATATCCTGGACTAACAGCACTACCGTCATTGTTCCTATCTAACAGAAGCTGATGGCACATCTCTCACAAAATTGTCCAGTTCTGGTCAAATCTTAGCGTAGAACTAATCAAAGGAAATACATCATATCTATAGTTTTGTCTAAAATATCAGTTTCAAATATGATTTAATATTTCCTATGTCTCTGAAGCTTTGTAGGACTCCTGGTTGTACACGTATTGACTCTGTATGTAGGTGATGAGGTCATGTCTGGCCAGACACCATCATGTCTTGGTCGATCCTTTGACCACGTGCAAGGTAAACGAAAAAAACCCTCATCTTTCCTTTTTCTCTTTGTAAATGAGCTCATCTAGTGCTGGACAAAAACATGAAGGGCCGTGTTCATGATTAATCAGAGATTTAAATCAAAAGAAGTTTTGCACAGATATTTTTTTAACTTGGGAAAGCACAGGTGGTTTAGTTCCACCACATGTCCCATTAAGCCATGGTAGTAAACCAGCATGCATCATTAATACACCTGCGCATCCCTTGCTGGGAGGACTCCAAATGTCTGCCATGAGAAAGATTACAGATAACAGCGTAACCTGTGCCCAAGACCTGGAAGATGTAGCACTTTTTCGTCTGTCTGTTTTACACGAGTTAAACTACAGCAATAAATGTAACTGTGGTTTTTAATTCGACTTGATCTCAACAGAACACTAGCCCAGGAATAGCACAGTGCTCCCAATAACTGAAACAAACAGTTGCTAATGCTTGCTCATTCTGCGAAACACCAACCAGGTTATGAAAAGCGCTTAAAGGTCCTATACCACATTCAGAGAATCAGGTCTAGGCTCTTTTTTTAATATTGCAATTTCGCTAGAAACACAATTCAAACGGTTGCAGATAGAAGAGAAGATTTGGGATCATGGCATTCAAAGCATTCACAGGTCCACAGATGGAAAAATCAGCTTTGAGATTACAAAATGACCAGAATAAGTCCTGGTGTCCTGTGTGAGTCTTGGGTGATAAAGGTTTAGAGCACAACAGTGAACCAAACTGAAACCTAACCCTCAGTCACCTCAGTCGCTATATTAAGGTAACAAACTTTCTATAAGCTGTCTATGTAAAAAAAAATACACTTATCAGTGGCAACACAGCCTCAGTTAACCCAAACTGAATTTCCCACTGATGGCTACCTCCATCACCGCTCAGGTGCTAACACATCTGTTGCAAAAAGAAATACACTGGACAACACGGATCTTTGGTTTTGCATGAAAAGTGAAACGTACTTTCCTTCCAGCATTTATATTTTCACCCTGCAGCCTGAGCACTGTTTTAAATTTTAGCCCAGAAACAAAAGGCAGCGTATTTCACACAACTCTTCTTGCTAGCTTCTCTATTTTAAACAAAGGGCTCATTTTGTGCAGGTGTGATAACAGCTACGAGTGATCGGCCATGTGTCCACGTTATGCAATCATTTTTGAGCGCGGGTCACGGATAACAAATGTTGCACGTAACGCCGGTTGGTTAATGAACGTAGGTACAAAAAAAGGGCCAAAAACCGAAGAACTTGGCACCGAATTTTTAAAAAATTGTGTCAAATCAACGACACGTTCGCGGATGTGAACGCGGCCACGCCAACTCGCTCCATGTGATATGCTTATTTTCCTCGCTAAGTGGCTTTACTTTTCACACTCTAGGCTCGCTCTGTGTCCTTGGCACCAGAGATTTGAAATGGTTAAGAGCAGAGAGGAATCTGAGAGAGATCCAGCTTGCTCTGTTGTGCTTCGCCTTCAGAGCTACAGTTGCTTTATGGCTGTGTGGTGCAGAGAAGAGAATGAGAGGGAGGAGAGGAAGAATTGGGAGGTGTTGAGAAAGAGAAAAACGGAGGTGGTGGTGGTGGAGGGGGGGCAAGAGATAGAAAGAGCAGGCAGCCCTGGTTTGCTGTCACACCCCCTCAGGCATCCTGTGCTATCTTTAACACACAGGCCCACGTTCTATCTAACCTATCTTGCCCGCCTTTTAACATAAAACGTCACAGCGTGACAGTGATTTTACATTAGTGCTAGATACGTGATGTAAGTGATTTGTAGAAACTACTGAGTGAATGTTAAAGGTTTTGTCATCACGGTGAAACGCTGGCGTCACAACAACACCAAAGAACGCACGCAGCACTGTCACGTCGAGCTTGTGTTCGTTATTGCAGTTGTGAATGTTTCTGCTTTAAAGCTCTGCTCTGTATACAGATGGAAAAGTGCCTGTGTCTTTCTGCGTGCGGCAGGGCTCTGTCTCCATATTGGAGTGCATTACGGCGATGACATTAATTATGCTAATAGCCAACAGCTCCGGTAGCGTTGCCGTGCTAGATCGTCAACAGAGCCTCTCCACGCTGCCTCTTTATCTAAAGCCCCAGATAGTGATATGCCAGGATAGGGGAGTAACTAATTACATGGGATCCAGAATACAAAAATCCAGCTACTGACACAGAAAAAATATGCAGACCAACTCTTTATCTAAAGCCCCAGTAAGTGCATCAGTGGATGGAGAGCACAAATGGCTTGTAATCAGATTACAGTAGTAATCTGATTGGACAAAAAAAGTCATGTAACTTTCATATCAAGCACTAGTCAGAGAGTCAGTGCAGGGAGGGACGGCCGACTGCAAAAGAACACCCACTGCTTTATCGGATGCTTCATTACTTGATATGGGGAGCGGGAAATGATGATTACAAACAGATTTACTCCAAAGTCACCTGATAATGTGCGATCTGGGATCTGTAGGCTCCGAGTTCCAACCAGAAATAAATGAAATGATGCAAACTGTTAGACTGACAGGCTGAACTTCCACTGTGGTTACCTCAGTGTTTTCTATACAGTTATTTATAAGTCTATGTTGTTAATTCAGTTTTGTTTATACGGCATCAAATCACCACAACACTCACCTCAAGTTATGGGTGTTAGATTTTTTTCAGGCATTATTGTAGATTAGAGCTTTCTGCATATTTTATGATGATATTTAGGGTTATGTTT